GTATAATGACCATCTATGTCTTTCTTTACTTTTGTTGAAGTCTGTATTATCTGACACAAGAATGGCTACACTAGCTTTCTTTTGGTTTGCATTTGCATGAAGTGTTATTTTCCATCCTTTTACCTTTTGTCTGAGTAAGTCCTTGTGGATTAGAGGTGTTTCCTGGAGATAGCTGATACTTCGCTTGTATTTTTCATCCATTCATCCAGCCTATGTGTCTTGATATTAAATCCAAATCACTCACATTTATTGAAATGATTGATAAGCAGGGTGGATTTCTATTCCTCCTGTTGAGTAGAACTTTATTGCTTTGTTTATCACCTGAACCACCTTCAACTTTTGGGTGATTTTACACTGGTGGGTGACTACTATCCTGATAAGTGTATAATGCAGATCGAGTACTTCCTGTAGGGCAGGTCTGGTCTTGACAAATACCTTCAGTGTTTGCTTGTCTGGGTAAGTCTTTATTGTTTTCTCACATAAGAAACTCAGTTTTGCAGTATGCAAAATACTAGGCTGGTCATTATTCTGTTTGAGAAGACCAAGAATGGGGCCCAGTCCCTTCTGGCTTGTAAGAGCTCAGTTTATTAGTCTACAGTTAGTTTGATTGGTTTTCCCTTTTAAGTTACCTGATACATTCACCTTATGGTTCATAGTTCTTTCATGTTATCTTTGACCAGTCATATGACTATTTGTAGTTGTGACTGCCTCTTGGCAATAAATCTCTGAGGAGTCCATGGCACTTCTAGTACCTTGTCCAGATTTCTGTAAAACCTGGGAGTATTCCTTCAAATAGGGTTTCCAGCCCTCATGTGGTTTCTTCTTCATCCTTAGGGATGCCTATGTTTCTTAGGTGTCTTTACATACTCCCAAATTTCTTGTAGGCTTTGCTTGTTTCTCTTATTTCTCTATTCTTCCTTTCATTCATTGACTTGTTTAATTTAAGGTGTCATCTTTTAGCCTGATTTTTTTTCCTGCCTGATCTAGCCTCTTTTTAAAGCTATCTATTGTGTCATATACTTCCTGAATGAATTTTTCATTCCCAGAAGCTCTGATTGATTTAATAATTAGACTTCTTTACTGATTTTTCCACTAATTTCTTGCACTCCTTTTGTGGTTTCTCTTTGCTGCATTTCTATTTTTTCTTGTATTTTGTTGACCTTCTTTACAATTCACATTTGAAATTCTTTACCAGTCATTTTGATGCTCTCATTTTCATTGATTTCCACTGATACAGTTACTATTTTCTTTGGGGGGGGGCGTGTCCTTTCACTTTGACTTTTCATGCATCTGGAGATATTCACTGTTTCTTTCTCATCTGGAGCAGCTTTTGCTTCTATTTTTGGATTTTATTTTGGCTAGATAATGGCACACTCAGTTTAACCTCTTGGACAGTGAGTGATACTTGTTGAGTGATACTCAATCATACTTTATATGATTAAGTTAGTAAATGCTCTAAAGGGCATGCAAATTGCCCCCCCCCGCCCCCCCCCCCCCGCCCCTGTAAATTAGCTGGTGCTTGACAGAGGGAACTAACTTGATGAAGTAGATAGCTATGCTGGCTTGACTGGAAGTACCTAGAAATCTCTGTAGGATGGATGAATGGGACTTCATCCTGGGACTTCCTTTTTCTGCCTTCTTCATGCTCTTTTCCTTCTTTCTAATTTTCTCCTCCATTTTGCTGGAAAACATCCTCCAGTATATTCTTCCTAAGCATCTTTATCTGAAGAAGTATAAAGAGAAGGTAAAATTTTTGAGACTTTGTATGTCTTTATTCTATACTCATATTTGACTGAGTTTGTAACCAGAAATACACTTTAAAATCAAATCTACTACTTTATTGTATCACCTAGTTCTTTATGCAGTCACTGGGGAACCCCTGTAGTATGTGTTCCTAAAGTTCAGAAGTGTTGGGATGGGCTTCTGAGCATGTGGCTACTTGACCTCAAGCAGAACAATCAGACAAGCCTGCCAGTAGTCTTTTACTATGTAAGGTGGTACCTAAAGCAAAGCTAGTGGATGAGGGCCCAAGAAACAGTAAGGCTAAAGAAGTTCCTTGAGGAAGATGTACCTGATACTGTTTCTAAAGATGGTATATCTATTGCCACAAGAATGTCATAATAATTAGCTATAAAACTTTAGTGACATAACAATAAGCATTCCTTGTTCATATACCTGGAAGCAGATGTCAGGTAGCTCTGCTAAGGTTGGCTAGAATTGTTCACATATCTGGGGGCTGGGTAGCTACTAACAAATCTAAGGATGATTCCATGTGGGTGACCAGTACAACCTGGCTGTGCTCCAGGAGTGTCTCATGCTCCAGGCTAACCATGTTCTTATGTCAACAGCAAACGCATAAAGTTTGTAGAAATACACTAGATCTCTAAAAATACACATGGCCCAGAATCAGAGTGAGGGGGTACTTCAAAGGAAACTGAAAAAGAACCATGAACACAGGGAAAACTGAAGAATTAGAGCCACTGCTATAGTCTATCATATCAAAGACAAATAAGACAACTATGGTTAATTCATTGTTCTAATAGATATTACTACCTTCTTTAATGAAGAACTTGAGATCTTCTCTGGACTTAGCTGTACTATAAATTAGGTTCTTATGAAGTATGAGAGTCACCTTTTTTATGCCAACTGTGAGACAGGGTCAAATGAGTGATTGGCTTGTTCTCTGCCTCTCTTTTCTCATCTCCTTTGTAACTGTTATATTTAGTTGGTCTGTACAGCCAGTTAAATGGCAATAGATTTTGGCTTAGGGAAGTCCAAATTCAGCCCAGAGAAATCTGACTTGGGCCCTCCTTAAATCAATTCAAGGCCTTTCTCTATTCTCAGGGCCAAGTTCTTAACATGAGAAATCTATTTTAATTCCATTCTTGTAAAATAACTGCAAAGTAAGCAAGTCAGTTAGTTTATTTGGCTAAGACTATGGGGCTAATAAATTTCAAACCTTATATAATCCACATTCCATTTTATGAATAACGCAATATAATGGTGACCTCACTAAAGCAATCCAAATCAGAAGGCCCAGATTCTACTCCAGGTTCTACCACTAACTAGTTGCACAACCTACTGGCAATTTACTTGATCTCTTTAGTACTCAGTTACCACATGTATATAATCAGGAATTGCTCTAAATTACAATAATCCAAATGTCCTGTTTCCATAGGACTTAATTTTCAAGTACATTTAAGACATAATAGCTGAAATAAAATTCAAAATGTTTACTTATTTCAGTGTTTTTCAGAACCTTTAATATGCTGTGCCTTTTAATCCCCAGGAGAGAAATATAATGTGTAGCTAATTTCACCAAAAACTCTTTAACTCCCCCACCATAAAACATGCTGTGTCCCACTGCACATACTTTGAGAAATGTACTGTTATTTCTAGCATCCTAAACGGTGAATTTATTTGTCAGAGTCCCAAAAAGAAAATGCAACTTCCAATGGGGACACTGGAGAAGAATATAATAAAATGACTCCAGTATTTACAAAGGGATGGGCAGGTTAGTGAAAGCAACATGGTGTAATGACTTAATCTGGGGTTATTAACAACTGTAAGCTATTACTACCCCTAAGTGAAAAGGGATAAAGGCAGGGAGCCAGGAACTAAACCTAGAGGAGTAACTGGGATAACTGCTTGGGAAGGGAAGGGATAAGATGGCATTTATTAGAAGGATACAACCAAACCATGGTGACCTGGCAGAAAAAAAGACCCAGGGAAATAAATAATTTTATTTTCCTCTCAACTTCAAACCTCTCACTAGAGTTTCCCATTTGTTGATCCCACCCAAAGGCCAAACGGTAAGAGAATCTAACTCACAGAACAGAGAACAAAATAGAAAAGAATGAAGAGGAAAACAGAAGCTATTCAACATAGTAGAGCTGCATTCACAAACAGCTAGATCTAGGCAATTAAATGGCGTCATCAGGGCTGAGTATCTTTTCGCTCTGCTTTCCTTTGCGGGATTCTAAGGCAGGCTCTTTTTTAAAAAAATATATTAAATCATAGCTGTGTACATTAATACTGTCATGGGGTATAGCGTGCTGTTTTTATATATAATTTGAAATATTTTCATCAAACTGGTTAACATAGCCTTCATGTCATTTTGTCATTTTCTTAGTTACTGTGTTAAGACATTTAATAAGGCAGGCTCTTTTAACCTGGCAGCACAGACAGCCAACAGCAGCTCCAGGCTTAAATCATTCTTAGTTAGATAGCAAGTCCAAATAAAATAATAAAAGAATAAACATATACATAGCACTTTCTATAATCCAGGCACTGTTGAAAGCTGCTTATGTATATTAACTCAGTTAATCCTATAAAATAGCTACTATATCACTCACTCTTTACATACCAAAGAAACTAACATATGCTTGATAAGTAGAAAAGGAAATGCTGAGATTTAGATTTAGGTAGTCTAGCTATAGAATTTGTGCTTTTAACAACTGTACCATAACTGTCTTTTGAAAAACAAACCTCATCTCATACAGCACCCATATCATTTATCAAAAAGCCCCTGGTGCTATTGGCTGGATAAGCACATGTTCAGGGCATGTTAGAACACTTAACTTGTTAACCTGTGTCATATGTTCACCTCTAAGGCAGGACACCATAAAAACTAGCAACCCCCTCCCCCCAAGATGTTGGTCAGATGTAAAAGCAACAAATATCCATCACAAGCACTGCAAACTTAAAGAAATAACCCTAGACTAGAGGCTACAACTATATTCATAGTTTTGCCTATGTTTGCCACTAACCTCAAAGCAAAACATTTATCACATTTTTGAGCAAGCAAGAATCTGACCCCACTATATGTTTTATCTACTACATAGATACATTATATTAAAATATAGTAATGAAATTGAGATATGACAAATTGGGCCTATGTTTTTTTAAATAAGTTTTTCAGTCAACAGTATCTCTGAAAAATTCCCTTACATACAATTTCCTTCCTTTTAAAAAATGAGATAAAATAATTGAAATTTAAATTTTTTCAAATGGTCTTGCAGGCATTATACACGATTATTTCCTAAGAATGAACAGAATACAAATATATGTTTATTAATTTTAGCAAAATAAAAAGACACAGATGGCTTGTTATAAACTAATGGGTAGGTTTTCTTGTTTCTTTATTTCCAGAGCATTTAGCATTCTTTATCAACTGGTACATAAAAGAATAGAAGAATAAAAGGTTGTCATATTGTCCTTTGTATTTCTCTTTTAATATATCAGTATGGTAGTCTACTAGAAAGTAGTAAATGGCTTCAATTGTGGAAAGAAAAGTATCTGGCTTTCCTTTTTGATGGCGCCAAAAGCAAGTTTTTCTTGTTTTCAATTCAACTTGTAACAACCCTGTCAAAAAAAAAAAAAAAAAGGAAAAGATAAGTATTTCTTATATTTTTTTCCTAATCACAGAGTGTAGTATAACAATGATTTCTCTTATTTAAAAGTACAGATAAATTCCTTCTATCTTAATTTGAAACAGTATATTTTCTTAAAGGCATTAAGGTATGTACAGTAGTGACCATAAGACAGAGAATGAAATCTTACCTATGACAGTTACTCTAAGTTTTAGACTAAAAGATTAAATGCAGTTAATATTTAAGATAGTCATCTCTTTTTTCTATCTACCAGTCTTTTAAAAACTAAACCTATGACAAGCCTAAATTCACCAATTTTTTGAACAGTTTCATTTCCTTGAGAAATTGACTTTTTTAAAAAAAATTAAATGATAGCTGTGTACATTAATGCAAACATGGGGTACAGTATAGTGTCTTCATAGACAATTTGAAATATTTTCATCAAACTGGTTAACATTCTGAAACTGAGATAAGCAGCTTAATGTTCTTCAATACCAGTGAAAGTTTACTTACAGATTATCACTTTAAAGCTACTTCTTCATTAACATAGCACGTCAAGGTGTTTGTACTGTTACCTCTGTTACAACTATGATGCAGAGCCTCGATGACAAAGTTAGCTAGAATGGCTTGCTCTTATACATTTAAAGAGGAAATAATTCTTTATAAATTCTTTCCCTAAGCTGATAAAATTAAGAGTTTTTCCCATAGTTTATTCTAGGGTTTTTATAGTTTCATATCTTAGACGTCAACCTTTTTTCCATCATGAGTTAATGTTTGTAAGTGGTGAGAAGTGTGTGGGTCCAGTTTTGGTCTTTTATATGAGGCTAATCTGTTCTCCCATGTCCATTTACTGAATAAGGATTCTTTCCCCAAGTATATGCTTTTGTTTGCTTCGTTAAAGATCAGATGGCAACATGAGGCTGGTTTCATCTCTAGACCCTCTGTTCTGTTCCACAGATCTATGTCTGTAATTTTATGCAAATACCATGCTGTTTTGATCCCTATTGACTTACAGTACAACCTTGCAATGGGATAGGGCACAGTTCCTGGGTAGATACAACCACAACTTAGACTTTAACCTCATAAAAGAAAAATATGTAATCTAATCATATGTACTTGTCATATTAATCTGGAATTTTAAAAAATGAGGAAATGATTAATATAATCACCGAATAGTACTCTCATCTGTTACAACTGAGATGTCAGCATACCAACTCAGAATGCTTTTATTTCTTCAGACCACTATGCTAAATTTATTTCCCATATTTTTTTTAACAAGTTTTATTTTAAAGTGAGAAGTAAAAGGGAGAGGGTAGCACCAAAACTGGCCCATCAACCAATTAGAAACTTCTAAGTTAGCCATGATCTCCTACTATTATACTCCACTTTTACTCAAGAGTTACCTCAGAAATGTAGCAGACAATACAAGAAATAAACATAATCTTAAGATAATAAGAGAGTTATGGAGGATCAAATGTCTAATAGGAATACAATGAGGAGAGAACAAAGAGAATGGAAGACAGAGTATTTCTGCTTTTTCCAGAAATTATTTTAAAATATGAAAAGCCACAGAAACATAAAACATAATGTATCTCAAGGAACAGAAATATATTACAAGAAGCCATTGAGAAGAGACAGATCATACAAAAAGGAGTGACGAGATTTTTAACTAACAAGAAGAGAATATTGGATACACTAGAATAATATCCTCAAAGTATCAAAAGAAAATACCTGGAAATCTAAAACTTTTGAAATTTCACCATCTAAATATATATAGTTTATTATATGTTAATTATTCTTTAATAAAACTGGAATTAGTGGGAAATTATTAACATACAAGGCAAAAATAAAATAAAACAAAACAAACCCAGAGAAAACAAATGATAGGCTCTAACTTCTTGGCAAATGTATTCACTATTAGGGTTTTTATAGCTTCCTATTAGTATAGGAGGATATCCTTATTCTTAGAAGATATATACTTAAGTATTTAAAGGTGAAGTACTGCAAAGCCTGCAACTTCTGTTCGAATGGCTTACCTAAAAATATAAACGACACATAAATACATACATAATAACAGAAGTAAAGCAAAGGTGGCAAAATCTATAGGTTTCAATATAATTCTTCTTTTCAAAGATTTTCAAAATAGAAGTTAGAGAGGAGGAACAATACAATAAAACATCACTTTTTCTTACCTTGAAGTCTCTCGTCAGTGATGATTTTGTTTGTTTGGTTCCAAGTGCTATCTATAAATATAACTTTTTTCAGTGTTGTTCCTTTGCGTTTGCTGTCATTCAAATCATAGTCTTCCTGGTCTTCTGTTTTCTTGCGTTTAAAAGATGGCATATCAGGGTCATCATTTTTGCCTCTAACATTATGTTGAATCCTTTTTTGCAGATGGAAAGAAATATCTTTTATTGAGATAGACTGAGGTCCAGGAAAAACAAGTACAACCTAAAACAAATAAGTTTGAGTTAGTAGTATACTATTATAATCTTAAAAATAAATAAATTTTGATTGATTAAAAGTTTAAAGAAAGAAATATGTTGAATATCTGAGAAACAAACATTAGATTGGTTCTATGGTATATGTTTCTTTAATATGCATGGTAAAGGTTTTGGCTTTTTCCTACTAATTTATAATCATAATACTACCTAAAAGTATTACTTGAAAATAAGTTGTTCACTGACTGATAGAGGCCAAGTTAATTAGACTTAAAATAAAAAATAAAATTTTGTAATTTTTCATAAGATAAAGGGCAAAGTATATGATACTTTGTAAAAGAACCACTGAAAACTGCTCAGTGATTATATACCACTTTCACCTGTATTATAAGCAAAGATAAAATAAATGATATAGTTAATGCCGACAAGAAAATAGTATAATGGGTTTTTACAACCATTACTGGTGACAAAATTAAACTCGCTGTAAAAACAATTTAGCAATTTATATCAAGAATCTTAAAATGTTCATACCTTTTGGCCCAATAATTTCACTAGGGGAACTTATCTTAATAAAATAATCTTAGACACACACACTCACAATACCCAAGAAAATTTGCTAAAGTATATTAGAGTGAAAAAGTTACAGTATCTCTTTTCTTTCAGCACAATTTTTACTCAGATCTTACACAATTAGAGACCCCAATTTTTGATCAGCTCCTGGCACAAAGAAGGTAACAAGTAATATTTGTTAAATAAACAAATGTTTGTATACTAGTGGGTATTTTACCCTATATTTTTCTCTACCTTCCAATTATCTTCAATGAGCATGCACATTTTTAGTATGAAAAAATAAATATTATGAAACAAAATCATAAAATCAAGAAACAAAAAAGTCTTCATGTTATAAATTTCAAATTTATAGCATGCATATATTTCCCTCAATACCCAATTGGCAAAGTCCAGGGTTTCTTAATTTCCTTGGATTATAAGCATATCACACCTTCTTATAGTACCCAACACTATGTTCTACTTAATCAATATAAATGGTATTTGGATTAATAGAAAAAAAATACATTCCTATATATAAAATTTAAATATTACTTATACATACAACTTTCTATATAAACTCAACCAAGATAGACAGAGAGGAAGGAAAGTAAAAACTAACAAAGTTCTTTCTGAAACAAATGAATATACTGATTTTTTTAACTTTGTTTCTAGATTAACCACACCAACAAATGACCCCCAAGAGACCCAGAAAGATTTGCATGCTTCTTTCAGAAGCCAAAGCCTAATTTTTTGGGATCTATGGTAAAATAACTTTTTGGGAAGAAGATTAGTAATATTTCACCAATGTGAAAATCTCAACTATGTGAAAACCAGTTAAGAAACTAAAAATGAGTAAGGAAAGCCTCAAAAGAAATGTTACAGAGGCTATACACTACAGCTCTTAATTTAGGGAGAATTCTTGAAAATACTTCTAATTTAATCTTTCTTTTCCTCTATTAAAAAAATTCCAACATATGTAATCTGGTTTCCTAGTCTGCATCAAATTAGACCATCTATACTAGGCAAAGAGGAAAAAAGTAAAAGCACGCATAATAATGACAAAGAGTAAAAACCTGAAGAAATAAGGCAGAACATTATAAAAAGCAGAAATATTCAAAAAGCATTGCTAACATCATCTGCCCTCTGAAGACATCAGTGAAATAAACTCCACAGTGTTTGATGCTACATGAGCATAACTCCAGGTTGCTAAGAAAAACATTAAATTATGTTCAAGTAAGTTCAAAAGAACAATGGAGTTTAAAATTCATTTTCATGTTTAATGAGAAGAGTTATAAAAAATAATCTGCCTACTTCATGGTCCTTTTCTTCATATTCTGGAATACAAGGATACGTGTAAATGTTTACAAATTCAGGAGCTAAGAGTTTTGCATGTATAGCAGTACTTTTGCCATCTGTTTCATTTGGATGTTTAATGATGTCAATCTTCAATGGAAGCTAAGTAAAAAGAAAAAAGACAAATGAACAAAACAAATACAAAAATTCTGATTTTTTACATTAATAAAAATGGACTTTAAATAGCAAATTTATAATCAGTTCCTATAACTATACATATGGTTTAAAGGTCATTTTTGAAACTAAAATATTAAGAATGGTGAAAAGTCATAAAGCAAACTCAAATTTTTTCCGTAATATTGTTAATCACATAATAAGACAACTATTTTCAAATTATTTAACATAGATCTTCTCTTAAAGCAAAGCTCAAAGTCATTTTCATTTTTGTACCAGCAATCTAATTCTTTGTATTGTAGTGTTTGTGCATTGAACATTCCTAATAATTCCTATAAACTCTGTATTTGTTAATTTTGTGGGTTTTTTTTTTTTTCTTTTTTTTTTTTTTTTGAAGCAAGGTCTTTGTTGTCCAAGCTAGAGTACAGTGGGGTCACCATAGCTCACTGCAACCTCAAGCTCTTGGGCTCAAATGATCCTTCTGCCTTAGCATCCTAGGAGGCTGGTAGTACAGGTGGGCACCACACTAGCTAATTTTTTTTGGTAAATTTTTGTAGAGATGGGGTCTTGCAAAGTTGTCTAGACCAGTGAAGAACTCCTAGCCTCAAGTGATTCTCCCACCATGCCCTCCCAAAATACTAGAGTTATAGATGTGAGCCACCATACCTAGCCTATTTTATGATATTTTTAAAGAACATGTAAATTTGGGTAAAAGCTTTCAATTTAAAATTCAAGTTGAAATTCTGTTCCTTATACATCCTTTTAGGCCAAACGTACTATCCTCTGATATGAACATCGTGGTTTTCAAAAGCATATTTTAACAACATAAATAATTATCAATTGGAAAAAAAGTAACAGAAGGAGTCAAAGAGGTATATTCACAAAAAAATTCTTTGTATCAAAAAAAATTCTCTTCAAAATCAACTTGCTGTATTACCCTTAAAATTTCATTATTTATTATAAATTATGCCCTACTTCTGTGCAAAAATAATACTCTTTTAGGTTTCTTAATATAGATTTTTCTAAGATTTCACTTTGGCTCTCCTTATAGGTCTGTAAATCTCTTTAAAAATGCATTCAGCCCTGATTATGAAAAAGAAAGCCAAGTCATTAGCTTTATATTTAAGAAACCTTCTTGAGATGGATTTTTCAATGATTTTTGTTATGTTATGTATTTTCCAAGATCTCCAAAGCCTATTACATACTAAACGGGCAGGATTCTGGAGCATCATTACAATCAAGTTAATAATCTGCCACTACCAAAAGTTTTCTCATGCCCTCTTCCTTCTCTCCTCCATTAACTACTGCTCCATTCTTAGGCGCCACCATTCATCTTGTTACTCTAGATTTGTTTGCAATTTCTATATGTTATTATAGATTTGGTAGAATTTCATATAATATGTACTCATCTTTCATTAAAAATAATTATTCAAAGCTGTCATCATAGAAGGTCTGACAATTAAGTTCACAAACTCGTCACTCTTCGCTTTAGTTGGCAATACTATACAATTAACTCGGTAAGGCTTCATAACCCTTGGCATATTAGTGTCTCACAGCTGTGATTGTATTGACATGTGGCAGTACCTTGCTGAGGGGCATTCACTAGTGTTGTATGTTTTTGTGTGGTATGACCACAGCTCTGATGGTCATTCCAGGGAGAGTTCCAAAATTGCTTTGAAATGTACACTAAGCACTGATACCAGTGCATAGCTTCCCAAGGGGAGTACTGTAAGGTAAGTGATGTTCAGCAATGATGTATGTAGCACTTGTTTATGTATTTACTATACTATATTTTTGTTATTTTAGAGTATAAAAAGTACTCTACTCCTTTTACTTTGAAAAAAGGTTAACTGTAAAATAGCCCTTAGGCAGGTCTTTCAGGAGGTATTCCAGCAGAAGGCATCATCATAGCAGATGACAGTTCCATGAATGTAATCATTCCAAAGACTTTCCAGTGGGACTAGATGTAGACATGGAAGACAGTGACACTGATAATCTTGATCCTGTAAAGGACTAGGCTAATGTGTGTGTTTTTAACAAAAAAGTTTAAGAAGCAACAAAAAAAATTTTTTTTAATAGATAAGAGCTTATAGAATAAGGATATAAAAAAAGAAATTATTATTTTTTTAGAAACAGAGTCTTACTTTGTCACCCCCGGTAGAGTACTATGGCATCACAGCAACCTCCAGCTCTTGGGCTTAGGTGACTCTCCTGCCTCAGCCTCCCAAGTAGCTGGGACCACAAGCACTCGCCACAGCGCCCGGCTATTTTTTTGTTGCAGTTTGGCTGGGCCGGTTTAACCCGCCACCCTCAGTATATAGAGGCAGTGCCCTACTCACTAAGCCACAGGTGCCGCCCAATAAAAAGAAATTATTTTTATATAGCTGTAGAATGTGTTCATGTTTTAAGCTAAATGTTATTCCAAAGAGTCAAAAGTTAAAAAAGAACTTAAAAGTTAATGAAGTAAAAGTTACAGTAAGCTTATTATCAAAGAAAATGTTCTTTTATAAATTTAGCATAGATTTATGCTAAGTTGGCACTGTTGGCACTGTTTATAAAGACTACAATAGGTAATGTCTCAGGCCTTCACATTCACTTACCATTCATTCACTGATGCTTCTCAGAGCAACTTTTAGTCCTACATGCTCCACTTATGGTAAGTGCCCTATACAGGGGTACTATTTTTTATCTTTTATTCCATACATTTACTGTACTTTTTCTGTGTTTGTTTAGACACACAAATACTACTACATTATAACTGCCTACAGTATTTGGTACAGTAACATGCTACATATGTTTGTGCCCTAGGAGCAAAAGGCTACATCATTTAGCCTGAGTGTACTGTAGTCTATTACCATCTAGGTTTGTGTAAATACACTCATTATGTTTGCACGATGATGGAAGCACTAATGACTCATTTTTCAGGAAGCATTTCTCAGAAAATATCCCTGTCATTAGGTGACGCGTGACTAAATTTACCAATTTATTTACTAGACTAAAATGTAAAGCTTAGGAGGAACTTACTCATTATGTAGTCATCCTCCCTTCCCAAGTAGGCTGTCTAAAAGCAAATGCTAAAAGATTTGTTAAAATAAAAATAGAAGTTAGAACATTTTGTAGTGTTTTTATTACTATTTTATTAAGATATCAAATTTTATATATGGTCATTAAAATATAAACACTTTAGAGAACTCAACATAGTCTAGACCATTTGGTATTGATCAAACATCTGGCATAATGTTTTGAGTCTTTTCTATTAAGCAGTGGACATTCAACCACTCAGAAAATGCCTTCTATTATTAAATTTCTATGAAAGTATCAGCCTTGTGAATACAAACAAATACAACATTGCCTTTTATTATTCTGATGTGTAATTCTTCTTTTTATTTTTTCTGAAACAGTGTCTCACTCTGTCACCTTGGGTAGAGGGCCATGGCAACATCATAGCTCACAGCAACCTCAAACTCTCGGGCTCAAGCAATCCTCCTATCTCAGCCTCCCAAGTAGCTGGGACTGCAGGCACCAACCATGATGCCCAGGTAGTTTTTCCATATTTAGTAGAGGTGGGGTCTTGGTCTTACTCAGGCTGGTCTCAAAATCCTGAGCTGAAGCAATCCACCCTCCTTGATCTCCCAGAGAACTAAGTGAGCCATCATGCTCACCCCTGCAACCCTTTTTGAACATATCTTAACAGAAAACTTTTAATGAAATACTCTATGACAGGTGTCCTCAAACTGCGGCCTGCGGGCCACATGCAGCCCGCCCAGTACATTTATCTGGCCTGCTAGGTGTTTTTGCTGCCACTGCCTGTCCTGCTTAGCAGCCAACTCATCCCAGGGCCTGGCAGTCCAGCCCTCCAATGGTCTGAGGGACAGTGAACTGGCCTCCTGTTTAAAAAGTGTGAGGACCCCTGCTCTACGACATAAATAGAAAATAGAATAATTCTATGTAGACTTCAAAAACTATACTTTGAAATGTTAACATTCCTATAAGATAACAGGGAATCAGAAAAGGAGTATTGTCCTCAAGCTCTTGCTTTTTCTGAACAAACTGTGAAGCTCATATTAGATGCCACACTTCATTATTCTTGAATAATTAACTTTCTATTAGTCTGTACATGTTGAGTTGAGATCTCTTAGGAGACCATGGACTTCCTTAGATGGCATATAAACTAAACTGAAATTCCAGTAGCTAAATATGAATATCAAAGTATTTTCTTCAAATTTAAATAAACCTTAAAATGATCACAGTCAATATTTTAAAATATAGGTAATATTTATACTCTTAATGGCAATTTCTACTGAGTCCTTGTGTAGAGTATAATCTCTCTAAAGTACTAACAGACAGCCGTCAAATTTTTTATATTATTTACTTTACTCCTAAAGTATGAGTCAATGTTAGACAAGTTGACACAAATATAATACATTCTTCTCTAATTATGCTGACATGATGTTCTACAGACCTTTTACCTATACAAAAGTAGGATTAACCTATATTAAAAAGTACAAAAGTAAGCGATCAACTCAAATCAAAATTTAAATTTCTCATAAAATCACTGTAATAGCCCAGTGCAGAGGTCTTAGTTTTTAAATTTTATTTACTTATTTATTTTTGGTCCAATTCTATCTCTACATATAGAATAAGATTAAGTCATAAAACCTATGGAAAAATTAATCCTAGTTTCATAGGAGAGTGTTTTCTCAAGGAAGAGTCCAAGAACCTAAGGTAGTTTTTAAAAGCTTCTTCTGGTAGTCCATAAACTTTTTTATTTAGTATTCATGTTTATGTCATATTTTTTTCTATGTTATAAATAAATTATAATCATTGATTTAAAAAGTAACTGACTTCATTAAAAATGGCACTATTTGGGGCGCTCATAGCTCAGTGGTTAGGGCACAGGGCACTGCACTTGGGCTGGAGGGTTTGAACTCAGCCTGTGCCTGCTAAACAAACAACAACAAAAATAGCCAGGCATTGTGGCAGGCGCCTATAGTCCCAACTACTTGGGAAGAGCTGAGACAAGAGAATTGCTTGAGTCCGAGAATTTGAGGTTGCTGTGAGCTATAATGCCATCTCACTCTACAGAGGGCGACAAAGTAACATTCTGTCTCAATTAAAAAAAAAAAAAGGGCACTATTCATTTCAGACCCAAGTGTTTTTCCAGAGAGAAAAATAGATTTAGCAGTCTGTGGGATGACATCTTTCATTAACATAGTTCATTTTCATAATGATATTATCACATTTTATAATTAGAACAGGCATACATGAGATATCTTTTAAAAATCTAGTTTCCTACTTCAAAACAATTAAATTTCTTACCAACCTTCACAAGTGGAATCTGTTCAACAGGTACATTTTCAACTGGGACGTAACATGTATAGCAGTAGAACATCCTTGAACCACCACATTTAAGACACTTTGATCTCCCACTTTGCTGAGCTTTTTGAAGAACTTCTTGGGATGCTAAGCATAAGTTCTGAAGGGGATCATCTGAAACTGTGGAAGCTGGTTGTGACTGCTGTGTTTCCACAAATTTTGGATCACTTTCTTCAAGAAATACAGGTGGATTAAGAGACATTCTTCATTCCAACAAAAGTTTAACATTTATTTTTAAAACACATTTTATCATAGGTACACTGTAAAAAAAAAAGTGTGGGAAGGGGCAAAATAAAACAGAAAACATTTTACTCCCTCTTTCTCTACAAAGAGAATTACTTGATTTAATTTATAATTGTGTGTTATTTTGGTACTCATTAACAAATATTAATAATTTTTTTAAGTTACTGAATTTGCATGCTTTAAAATATAAAATTAAAAAGCAATAAACTCAAAACAACAAATTGGTTACCCTTTGGGGCCATTCTTTCCATATAAATAGGTGCTATCTTAGAAAAATTATTTCAAATATAAAGACTAGGCACTGATAATCTATCTTTGAAGAGCTCTTTTTATTCCAGAGATGGCAATTTTTTTTTTTATAAATACAGTAGAACCTCCATAGTTGACCACCTTCCCACATTTATCATCTCTTTAAGTTGATCTAATTGTCATAGACCATGCATGTACCACATGTACTCAATTATGTAGACCACCCCCATATGTTGACCAGTTTGTTAGGAATTTAGTGCTTTCATGTTAATAATAGCCAGGAATATATTCAATCCTGTAGGTTCTAACTTTGAATTGACATTACATGATATCAAATCTTATGCTAAACTCTAATCAAAACAGAAGGTTACAGTGAAATCAGTAAAATCTGTGTATGTTAGATATGTTCAGATATATTCCTCTTCAACTTAAAACTATATCTAAAACTAAATAGGCACTAAAAAAAGAGAGGCATCTACTACCATTTATAGTGGTGAAATATCTTACAAGTTTTAAAATTTTACAAAGTAATGCTAATGTCCACTCTAAGAATTTATACTGCTTTTTAAAAAATATAAACTATTCCAATTCTTCAGTACTAGAGACAACATAGGAAAAAATAACTTTCCCCCTTCAAATCTTTTTCAAAGAAGGTTGATGACCATCAAAATTGCTGTTTGCATACCCTGTAAGCAATATATCTTTAAAGGGAGAAAAGAGATTAGAACTCTATTGATTTGATATGCATTCCACAGCTGTAAAATGATTCTCTCTATTATAAAAACGTATGACACTGTGGTATTTAACTGAAGCTGCAGGCACTTTGATTATAAAAACTGACAGAAGAAACACTATGATTCCAACAAGAAACATTCTGTGGTCTGCCAAATAAAATTTGAACAGAAAGTCTAGAGAAACATAAAATACAACATAATTTGCTACCAAGAAGTCGGTGACATTAATTACCCATCAAGAGCTTTTTTTAGATTGTAAATCCCAACAAGCTAGACACCCAAATAAAGAGACACAAAGAAAAGACGGTTATTGAAGGAAAAGGAAAATGTACTTGCCAAATATACTTAAAGAGAAAACCCAAATATAGTAAGTCTTTTTGCTGTGTACTGATTAGGTATGGGTTTGCATTTTGGGTTGCTGAGAGAAAGTGATATTTCAGAAACATGATCCAATACCTTCTTCCTCTCTCACAATAGAAAACCTTACCTACTTCTGCCTGCCACTCCAAATCATCTGCCTAAAAATGCCTTCTATCATGGTGAACATGCCCTCAACAACTAGAAGAGTGTAGGATATTAAGATGCCACCTTTTCTTAAGTATCAGATCCTTTTAAGAACTGCATGAAAATCTTGGACCTTACCCCTAAAAAATGTATATACAAACACACTATATCCATACAACTTCAGGTGGTTTGCAGATCTCCTAGAGTCCATCTATGACCCAGGCAAAGAAATCCTAAGATAAAACATTCATTCAAAGGACAGAAGCAGCAGTTTGGGAAGAGATCCTATTTGTTCCCAGAAATAAATTCTGTTGGCCATCAGTGTCAATTGTCACAAGCGAATAGATGCCTCATCACTGCACTGAGAAAGCTAATTAAGTTTCACTTAAATGCTCTTGCTTTGGATTTGTTTTGGTGTTGCATCAAGTTCTTACAAAGACACATTTTTAGGCTATAATAGTCCTAAATTATTCAAATCATGGAACTCATCACAGAGACACATTTTTAGGCTGTAATAGTCCCAGATTATTCAAATCCTGGAACTCATCCTAAATGGTGGGACCACACCTATGGTGCATTTTACAAGGGTACATGTTAAATCTACAAGTGTAGAGTATAAACGTCTTAACACATAACTAAGAAAATATGTTGAAGGCTATGTTAACCAGATTGATGAAAGTATTTCAAATTGTATATAAAACCAGCACTAATGTACATAGCTATGATTTAATGAAAAAAAAAAAAAGAAGAAGAAATTGGACTAGACTAATTCAACCTGATTTCATTTCCTTGGATATTCTAGTAGCTACTTAGTGGGTTTATGTGTGCTACCAAAGGGCCCAGGCACACTGGGGCTAAAGAATGAAGCTATGGTGGATGCCATGAAAGTTAACATGTTTGCCTGATATTTAATAGAAAATTCCTGTGTGTTCAGAGTTATTATACGGCCCTCAAAGTGCATTCCTCCTGAGATGCTTCAGAAATATCATCCTGTATGTCACTGACCTTCCATACACATAACTAAATAGATTATTAAAGAAGCCTTATGCAAATAACCTTCATCTAAAAAAAAAAAATCAATCATGAATACCCATTAACAGTGGAAGGGAAATGTTTATGGCTACTTTCCCTGTCTCACCTACATTCTCCCAAGCATGGCTGAGGTGGCCACAGAGAAGAGGGTAAATCTTGGGTAACTCTCTCCAAAGGTCTATGAAACCACATGAACAGGGCGTCTATCTTGACTTAGCCAACAGCCTGCCTCAAATGTGTACAAATCATTTGTTGCGAATTTAAGTATTCAAAGCCTTTAAAATATACTTGTTAATATCAAATATATGGGGGGAAATACAGCTCAAGTCATAGGTATTAAAAGAATTTAGAAAACACAAAAAGGAACTAACAAATAATTTTAGCCCCTTGAAGGAGCATACATCATTCTGCAACTTAGGTTGAAAACAAATTAACTTTTTACTCTTCTTTCTATCCAATTTCTCCCCCATACTAAATATACTCACCAAGTTGTATCAATTCTTCCTTGCATATAACCCTCAATTTTCAGTCTCAAAGTCAGGACTCGTAACTGTTTCTTATCAGTTCATAGATGGGCAATGGCAATCTCTTACATGAGCACCTATTGGTTCCTCATATTTGACATGGAAAAGTGCACTTAATTTGGAGGTGTATTTTAGTAAAGCTATCCCTCCTAGCATTCAACTCTGTGTAAGAGCAGAATTCTTTACTGACCTTAACTATTCCTGATTCTTATGCAATAGGAAGAATTAAACAAACACAATCACAACCATTCTGAAAAACACATCCAGTAAGCATTTCGCTGCTAAAGTACCTGCAAAGTTATCTTTATGGATTACATGCAGACTGGCCTAAATAAATAAATACAGGTGTGCATGTGTATATATAAATTGTGGCACAACAATAATGTAAAAGGATCCTACCTTTTCCATTATTATAACTTGACCCACCTTCCAATGGCACGTTATATATAAAACTCACCTATCCTGTATTATGGAACCATTCAGTACTAAATAAAACTCACTTCATATTTTCTTTCTGGAGTGCTTTTAAGAACCTAGTTAGGTCCAACACTTATTTTTAAAAATCCAGGGTACCAACTTTCTAAATACTGGCCTAAAGGCCTCTTCCACACCACCCACAATATGGTAGGCAGGCTTCTTTGCCTTGGTTTTTCCTGGTACACAGGTCAGAAGTAGTCCTTAAACGTTGTAATCTTAATTAAATATCAATTTTTATCATCCAACTTCGCAGAACTGGCCCCTGAAAGTGTTAATATACTATTTCATTTGTCCTACATCCCCCCCCCAAATAATTTAGATATAAAAAGTCTTCTTTACTTATTATGTAACCATAACCTTCATCTTTTAAAACACTACATGGCATACCTAATCCCGCGTCGGTACTAGGTAGGATTCTCCTTCCGGGATTACCAATCCCCTATAAACCACTCCAAACACTAAAAAAACAGAGAATGGAATTCCTAGGGAACTGACTTTTTTGAGGATAAACTTCCCTTTGGGCAGAAAGCACCAAAAACCATTGTGAGGGAAAAAATATTCTTCCAGGAAAATCTGTAATCTTCTTCCCAAAGGGCCCGCAAGTTCCTAAACACGCCAAAGAGCCGCGCAGGGACCGAGAGCCCCTCCGCCCCCAATAGGCGACACCCTAGCACTGAGCTAGGGTCCTGACAGAACATTCACTTCCCGTGGCCGCACAGTCGAGCCAGACCACTGGTCTCCAGACAGCGCGGAGACCGATGTCGGGATCGGAGTGGGACTCAGACCTGCACAACGCGCGACTTCCCGCCACCTCCACGCGTCTTCAACTCCGCCGGACCCCAGGCGCGGGCCGGGCCCTGATGACGCGGGGACCCGGCGGAGCGCTTTCCCCGAGACACCAGGGGGCGGAGCCAGGCCGTTGCTAGGGTATTTGCTGAGGCCTAACACCGGCCTCTCGGCAGAGGTAACGGGCGGGGACAACAGCGGGGCGGGGTTAGGCGGGAATTCCTGCCTCAGCGGCTGACTGCGGGCGGCGGGTGCTTCTCAGAGACGCGGCGGGGAGCAGGGCCGGGGCCGCCTGGACCTCTCTAGCCCTTTCGCCAGTTCTTTCCCAAGTGTGGGCGGTACCAAATAACAATAGTTACAACCATAGCCACTGGGACGCGGCGGCTGCCGAAACGTACTCTGGAGGCGTAATTGCAGTGAGTTGTGAGGAAATCCTGCTCTTACAGAACAGTTTCCATTTGTTAATACCAGTCCCAAAGATACTTTAGTCGTGAGAACTTGGTTCTGTGACTCTTTTTGTGACAGTATCAAAATTAAGTATTTTGTGCTCTGTGTAGTAATGAAGCTGTTAGCAAAACTTTTTTTTTTTCTTTTCTGGCATCTTGATGATTTGGTTTGTCTAAAAACATGCATATAGCGTTGTGACTACTTTGTGCAGTTTTTCCAGTTTGAAGTATAATGACGTGGATAAGTTATAAAACCATTTATCCATCCCTCACCCCAAAGAAAACCCAAACTGCAAGAGCAGACGTTAATAGTTATATGATTTAGAAACGCAATGGCCAAATGCTGAGCAATGTATTTATTGAGTACTGTAAATTTATCAAGTGGGAAATAAAGAACAGAACGTTTGCCCTAGAAGAGCTTACTGTTATCAAGTAATGTATACGTAATATATAAAATGCAGGGTAGGTAGTATATAAAATGCAGTGTTCTCACTAGTGAGAAAAAAATGCAGTCTGTCTAAACAATTATGGGAATTTCAAAGAGCTCAGAATGGAGTGGTCAATAAGGCTTATCAGTTGAATTTCACAAAGAGGCGGCCCAACACGTAAAAGAATGTTTTGTAAATATTTTGTAAAATTTTTTAATGAATATTTTGTAAATAAGGGTACATTTAGCTACAATTTTCCATTTTCCCTATGTATGGAAACTTCAGCTGTATTTTGGGACACCCTATTTGTGCATGTATGTGTGCATTAGGTCTTATTTGTAAAAATGTTATTTCTTATTGTCTAGTAAGTACTCTAAAAAGTTTTAAATCACTGATTTAGAAAGATGAGTTTTCTGGGCAAGGAAAGCAGCAATGGCAAAGTTCCTAAGTCAGAAATAATAATTCACAGTGACTCTTAGTTTTATCAAAGTACTTCAGTTGCACAGATTAAAAAGCAAATAAGCCTATTTATTAGATGGAGGATTGGATTACTATTGCTTTGTAATAAATTACTCCAAAATATGGTAGTTTAAATCAACTATTTTATTTTGTTCAAAAATTGTATGGTTAGGAGGGTACAGTGGATCAGCTTTTCTCTGGTAACTCAACTGGAAAGACTAGGCAAGCTAGCCAAGCTGTTATTTACACTGCTCCATGTGGCCTGGGTTTCTTCATTATGGCAGAAAGATAGTCAACTTCTTAGTTTATGCTCAGGGATCCAGAGGGACCTGTTGGCATGAACAAGGTAGAAACTACATGTCTTTATCTGACCTTGCCTCAAAAAGTAGCACAGTTCACTTCTCTTGCATGCTTTTGCTTACATGTAAATCATAAGACCTATCCAGATTTTAGGGAAAGAAATACTAATCTCTCTCCTGAAAGACTTTGTGGCCATTTAAAAAAAAAAAAAACAGCAGTGAATTTACGGCTATAATATAATAGAAAACCTCAAAATATTGATAGTTTAATGCAATCAATGGTTATTTCTCATAAAAGATGGATTGTAGATGTTCCAAGTCAGATGAAATGTTAAACTGAAAGTCAAATATTTCTTTTTATTTTTAGTGGTTCTACTGCTTCCTGGGACTTGGGGTCCATAACTTATTTGACAAGCAAGAAAATGTGGTGAATCACAGAAGAAGTTGTAGAGGTCAGCTCTAAAAGTAGCAAGTGTAAATTTTGCCACAGTCCATCGGTCAGTTAGTGCCAAGGTCCCCAGGGGCCTTGGAAATGTGGAGGAAAGCACATACACGTTGATGGTCAGGTTGCCCATGTTCTAGGTTTTTAAACAAAATTCTTTGCTCTACTCTATTCTCAATTCTTCTTTCTAAAAGAAATTCAGTCAAGTCTTTTTAATGTTTCTTCTATTTACTCCCTAGTCTAAATATATTTATATTGTAGTTTCTTCGTTTTTCAATTTCACATGTTATCCATTGACTTTCTCCTATGGATTCTGATAATGTTCTTTCACAACACTACTCTGTAGCATGTGAACATTCCCTCTCTTACTATCCCATATAATCTTCTTGTCCTTTCATTCTCTCGATAGAGTGATACCATAGTTTTTACTTAAATCAACAGTTAGTGTTATCACTACTATGCTAGGTAAATATCATTTAACTCAGAGCCACATAATGTACTATGATCACATTAACTTTTAATATAACCTTTTACTTTCCTTTTTTTCTTAATAATTGCCATATTTTAAATGTATTTGTTAGAAATCCATCTCAAATACTTTGCCAAAGTGATAAAGCATTATGATATAATTAGTTAATCTCACAGGTATTTTTTCTGTGTAGATATTCTTCTAGAGCATTACAACCTCTACATCATTCAGACTTGGTTGCTTTCACCAATGCAATACTGTTCTCTTGTATTAGATCACTTGTTTCCATTTTCATTGTTTAATCCTTTGTTTTTATGAACTACATTTTCTAGAACCTTTCTGGAAAAAAAAAAGAGTATGATAAACAGAGTAATGGTCCCCCAAATATATCCACATTCTAATCTCCAGTATTATATAAAAATGTTACCTTATATAAAAAGAACTTACGTGATTAAGGTAAGGATCTTGAGATGATAAATTATCCTGGATTGTATAGGTAGCTGGCATAATAGAAGGGTTTTTTAAGAAAGAGATAAGATGTCAGAGGAAGAAGATTATACACTGCTGGCTTTGAAGTTTAAGGGAGAAGCTATGAACAAGGGAATTGATGTGACTTCTAGAACTGGAAAAGGCAGGAAATAGATTCTCTTCTCACCTATAGACTTCAGAATCATAGTCCTGCAGACCCACTCCAGACTTCTGATCTCCAGACTTGTGAGATAATAAATTTGTGTTGTTCTAAAGCACCAAATTTATTATAATTTTTTGCATATGAAACTATTATGGCATGTTTGAATATCTGTTTTCACCAATCCATTTCTTTGTGGAGGCTCATGTCCTCTCCCATTATCTATATACCTAACCCTGATTACAAAATTTTCATACAGTCATTTCATTAGTATATAAATCTAACTCTATTCCCATAATCCTAATGTTCACCCACAAAGGTTGCTATTGTTTGCACCACTGGACTCCAGCCTGGATGACAGAGCAAGACCCTGACTCAAAAAAAAAGGCAAAAGTCTCAGAAACATTCACCCAAAAAAGATATGCATATGGAAAATAAGCATATGAAAGGATGCTTACCATCATATGTCATTTCAAAGGGAATTTCAGAGTACAACAAAGAGATACCATAGCACTCCTATTAGAATGGCCAAAATTTAATACTTCCCCAGATGCTGGGAAAGATAGAAATTAGTAAGAATGCTCACTCATTGTCAGTGGGAATGCAAAATGGTATAGAGCCACAAAAACAGACTAGAACGGGCAATTGTTTCTTGTGAAAAGAGAGCCAGAAAAAAGAAACCCTGCTTACCACCCTCATTGACAATCCTTCCATGTTCTTTCCAGGGAGGCACTTCAAGCCACACTAGAATATACCCTGTCCAGAGGCTTTTCAGTTGACATAATCCTTCTGAGCAGACAGGACAACCAGGATAAAATAAAGAGTACATGTGATGTTAGAGTATTCAGAGTTTATTGATAGACATAAAAAAGCTCTACAAAAGTTAAGACAATGCTTAACAGTAGAGGGGTGGCAGAAGCAGCTCACCAATCGTTACTCAAATTTTTATTTCTTATATACCCCAAAGCTACCTATTACCAGTGCAGCATTCTTTCTTAATTTGCATAGTTCAAAGCAAAGATCATATTAACCTTTAGCATAACTCAGTGACCTGTTACAGCATTCCACTTCAAAAGTTAATTTCCTAAATCAATCCACCTAAACTACTTAGGCATCTTTAGGGTGGGAGCTAAAGAATGGGAGACGGTGAAGGTCAGGTAGGACCTAAACCAACCAGACCAACTGTGTCAAATGGGAGATAGGGGGTGAAGTTCAGGCAGGACCTAAACTGACCAGACTGGCTGTGTCATGTCAGTCATAGCCTGCCTGACTCCATCTTATTCTCACTACATGTACTTTCATCCTGGTGCAAGATCAACATCTCTTGTGGAATTGTTGCAGGAAAATGAGACCTGATGGAGAGAAAGAAATAACTGAACATCTGTATTTTAAAAAGGAAGGGTACAGGAAGTGTTTTATTTCAGCTGGCCTAGCCACAGCAGACTAAAGTCCAAAAATGGCCAAGTTCCCTGACTGGCTCTGTCCTTTCCCTTTTATCTCCAGCCAAAAATTCCTTGTTCATGGGTACCCTTATCCAGCTCAATTCAAAATGACCAATGAGAAGCATACACATAGACAAGAAACCCTTGGCTGGAGGTAAAAAGGAAAGGACAGAGTCAATTGGGAGCTCGGCCATTTTTGGACTTTAGTCCTCTGTGGCTCCACTGGCTGAAATAAAGCCTTTCCTTCTACCCAACTGGCTGCAAAAGACATTATTTCATTCCTTTTCATTGCTGAGTAGTACTCCGTGGTGTGCATATATTCCACCTTTTCTTTATCCACTCATGAACTGATGGGCACTTAAGTTGATTCCATATCTTTGCAATTGTGAATTATGCTGCAGTAAATATTCAGGTGCAGGTGTCTATTTATAAAAGTATTTCTTTTCCTTTGGGTAGATACCCAGTAGTGGGATTTCTGGGTCAAATGGTAGGTCCAACTTCAGTTATCTGTGAAATCTCCAGTGGGT